CCCCAAAACCCCAAAACCCCAAAACCCCTTTTTGAGATATTTAAATTGAGATTAGGCCTAATTAACGATTATGGACACGGAGATACATCAGTTGTTGGATATACCTGCATGTTTAGAAGGGAGAGTATTGGATGGTATTGAATTGCCCAGTGTATGGAAAGTTGAGCCATGCTGTTTAGCATAAGGATAGGTACAACTCTCTCTAGCTATGTCTTCTTCCAGTAGAAAAGTCTTAGCTTTGTTTCGTAATTAGTCCAAGAATAATCATGTCTACTACCTAATTGCAACTCTGCTCAATTTTGCTTCTCATTACGCATTTGGTTCTATAAACTGCAGACAATGCTTAGATCATGGACAACCTACAAATAGTGTTAGGAATTCATAGTGTAAGCCCAAGACCGCAATGATGGTAGGGTTAACTGATTTCTGAAAATTCAGAAATTGTGTTCGAAGGATTCCACGTCTACTATATCTAATAAATCATGACTCACAAATACTAAGATCCTCTTCTTGATGTTTACCCTCTTTGAGTCTCTAATCTGGAACTAGTTGACGGAAGGAGAAGTTTATAATGTCATCCCAGAAGTCACCAAGAAATGTACTACAATGTCTGATGAGCTCAGAGTTCTGATATAGACCCAAAAAGTTATCGATTCTCATCTAAAATCGAGATTTCACGATGCCTTAGCTCTTTCACAACTCTGAAATTTCATGAACTTTCTGGGCTGAAGTGCCAGGAAAGTATAAATATGCAAATTTTTTAGATAAATTAATAAAAATAAATATGAAATCTTACCTCTTAATTGCCCTTGTCATGCTTCTTGTAGCTACAGCCTTTGCTGGCGATGTCAAGACAGTCAGAGAACTCCTTGCTACTGAAGAGACAGAGGAAATTAGTTTTGAAGAGAGAGCACACATCTTTGAAAAGCCAAAGGTTAGAGCTAAGTGCATGAGAGAGCACATCTTCAAGTGCGGCTACATTGCTGGAAGCGGAGACGAATCCCTTTGTGAAGACAAAAAATTGTGCAAATGCTGTGCAGCAGCTGAAATGGGCTGCAGTCAGAAATGCAAGAACTAATCTTCCTACTAAATACCTTTTCTAAAGTGTTGACACTTGGAAATACTGATATGAATGCTCTCATATTTGCTTCCATATTTGCAACAGCTTCATAAATTAGAAGAGGCTAATTGATAATATTTGAGCTCAATGTTGGTTCACCAGTTAGGGGTTTTGGGGTTTTGGGGTTTTGGGGTTTTGGGG